GCTGGCTGGCCAACGCCCGATAATTCTTAAGCGTTTGAAAATTACGAAATGGCACCTAGACCTGCCTAAGCGTCCGCTTGGGAACCCGCCTAAATCGTGGCTCTCACTTAAATAGAAAATATATAACTTTCATTTTAAATTTTATTTTTCAATAAATTACAAGAGACTTGTTAAATACTTGGATTAATACTCATTATATGCTTGTTTCTCATGTTTTTAATATGTTCTAATACTTTATAATTTATATATCATTTTATTTTACAATTTATGTATATCAATACAATTGTGTATTTTTTAAATATAAGACATTTATCTATATATTATATAGTAAATTTAATTAAAATTAAAAAAAGAACCTATGCCTCACTTAGATGCCCAGACGCTAAACTCCCACCCTGCTGGCCGACTAAGAAAGTACATGCAATCCCACCTTGACCTATGAAAGATGCTATTTGGATAAAACAAAGTACGAAAAGCCATTTGAAATTGCGAAATGAGGGAAAATATGAAGGTGGGGAATGCAACATTTGATTTATGAGATTGTGATGCAAATGAATGGAGCAGGTGGTGACGAGTGGACTTTCTAGCTGTAATTACTGATCTCAATTCACCTACTCTTCTCATGGTCGGACGCACGTTATGACAAGGGTGGTGAAGTTGCCCATCCTGCCACCTGTAAAATCCCTTCAGCGAAGCCCATTTTACCATCCAGAGTGGCTGAAGTCGCCTTGTGAGGAAGGGCAAAAGCAGAGCAGCACTGGCTGCTAGGTTAGGCGGAGGAAGAAGCAACTTTTTAAAGGTTTTTTTAGCCAAAATGGTCTCTGAAATTGAAAATCAATAGAAATTGTCCCTGAGATTGTCCATCATCCATTATTTTGGTCATTTTGTTAAAAACTCCGTTAATGTCCCTGAGCTCTTGGCCAAAAGTTTGGGCAATTTTCAAAGTTTCGTAACTCAATCGTTTCTTAACCACATTCGACCCATAATATATCAAAATAAAGATAGAAAAGTGTAGAACAAGGTTATACCTATTTGGAAGCCCAATGGTTGACAGAGATTGCCAGAAAATAGCCTGAAAGGTGACTGGCCTGCAGCAAAACTAGAAAACTCGTCAAAAACTGAGTAAAATTTAAGCGTTAATAACTTCTTCAATACTCAATGAAATCGAGTGATTCAAAAATGAAAATCATACTTATTGATGAGAAAAAGAGAATGATACCTTTTTAGACGGCTAAATCGCTGTGGTTTGGCCGGCAAATGACTCGAAATTGGCTGTCTTGGTTTCGAGTTAGCCACTTTCGAGTCATTTTTCGTCCAAAACATGGTGATTTAGCTGTCAACAAAGGTACCATTCTCTTTGTCTCATTGAGAAGAATGATTTTTGTTTTTGAATCACTCGATTTCGTTGAGTATTGAAGAAGTTATGAACGTTTAAAGTTTACCCAGTTTCTGGCGAGTTCCCGCGGACCAGTCACCTTTCAGGCTATTTTCCGGCAATCTCCAGCAACCATTGGGTTTCCAAATAGGTATAATCTTGTTCTACACTTTCCTATCTTCATTTTGATATATTATGGATCGAATTTGGTTTAGAAACGATTGAGTTACGAGGCTTTGAAAATTGCCCAAACTTCCGATCAAGCGCTCTGGGACACTTAACGGAGTTTTTAACGGAATGACCAAAATAATGGATGGTGGACAATCTCATGGACCATTTATTTTTATTTTCAATATTAGGGATAAAAATGATGTGTTATGCAAATCTCAGAGACTATTTTGGCTAAAAAGCCTTTTTTAAAACAAATCTTAGACCCAAAGGAAGTCATTTAGGCCATCTTCAACCGAAGGTTGGCCAGAGGGATTGTTTTAACCCTTTAGCCATCCAAGAAACAGTACATGACCATATTTGCCTCCATCTCTAACCGATGGCCAAAGGGCCGTAGGGCTCATTTTAGCCCTGTCACAAAAAACCGTCTCCAACCGAAAGCCAAAGGACCATAGGGCCAAATATAATTTATTATTTAAAAACTACAACTTAAATTTAAATCCAACGACTAAGTGGCATCAGCTAGCCGTTGGATTTGAATTTTTTTTGCTATAAATAGGGTGGATATTGGGCTATAATTCACACAGCTTTAATTCAATCTATTTGAATTCAATCTCTTTCAATTCAAGTTTGCAATGAATTCCAACTTTGGATCCTCTTCGGATTCCAACTGGGGGTCATCATCCAATTCCAAATTAGAAGAAAAATGGGTGCAAATGAGACGAGAAGATGAGGAGTCTGATGAACAAGTTCAAGTAAGGTGCAACAAACAAAACAGAGTAACAGCCATGGTGTGTTAGCCAACTGAGGAACAACCTCAATAGGGTGGCTCTGTTGCTGGTCGCTCTTACAAACCACGAAACAGAGTGATGACACATGCTAATCTAATGAACAACTACTTCAACCCCAACTCGGTGTACACAGAAGAGGATTTCAGACTTCGCTTCCGGATGAGGCGTCATGTCTTCGAGTGTTTACTTCTTGATGTCCAGCAGGTCAATCCATACTTTCGACAAAAACGGGACAGAACAGGCCGCCTTGGTTTTTCACCTCATCAGAAGGTTACTGTTGCACTCTGAATGATGGCTTATAGCTCCCCAACTAATTCGATGGATGAAACCTATGGTATGTCTAAGTCTACATGCCTTGATACTCTTGAACAATTCTGTGACATTATTATTCAGGTTTACAAAGACTAGTACCTCCGCGAGCCAAATCAAGAAGATCTGAATCGACTCCTTCACAAAGCTGAAGACCGTGGGTTTCCGAGCATGATAGGGCCATTAGATTGCATGCATTGGGATTGGAAGAATTGTCCCACCGAATGGCAAAGAGGCTTCTGCGAAAGGTCAAGAAAGCCAACTGTTGTGTTAGAGGCGGTTGCCTCATATGACACATGGATCTGGCATGCTTTCTTTGGAGTCTTTGGATCCCAAAATGACATTACAGTTCTTGGGCGTTCACCTCTCTTCAATCGCCTGACGGAAGGTAAAGCACCTCAACTTGACTACTACATCAACGACCATTAATACAATATAAGGTATTACTTGGCAAATGACATCTACCCAAAGTGGGTGACACTTGTCCAAGCAATCCCAAACCTTAGGAATGACGCAGAAAAGTTGTTTACCTTACACCAAGAGGCATACCGAAAAGATGTTGAGAAAGCTTTCGGTATTCTACAAGCACGGTGGAAGATCATCAGTGAACCGACAAGAGGATAGAGTCGAGAAAATTTGGACTCCATCATGATGTCTTGCAGCATATTACACAATATGATAGTGGAGGATGAGCGAGATGGGTATTTTGATGGAGAGTTCGATGATGACTCAAAAAGGCTCGTGCAAAAATATATGATGGGCCTAATTTGCCTTTCAATCCAAGAACTGGTAATATCTCTATAAATGAGTACATGAGGCGCTATAGAATGATACGTTCCCCTCCCACAAACAAGTACCTACAACAAGATCTTGGTGTACATCTTTAGGCCAAAAATAGCATGGAGTAGGCGTTTAAGTTTTATGTTGTATAATTTTTAGGCTGGTTAATGTTATTTAATGTTGTTTCATGTTACTTAATTTAATTTAATGTTGTATAATGGCTTAAGAAGTTATAGGAAAAAAATAGAATTTTAAAAATATATGAAACAAATTTTGTAAAATAGAAGTTATAGAAAAAAAAATAGAATTTTAAAAAATATGAAACATAGAAGTTATGGGAAAAAAAAAATAATTTAGAAAAAATATAAAACAAATTTTGTAAAATAGAAGTTATAGGAAAAAAAATAGAATTTAAAAAAAATATGAAACATAGAAGTTATGGGAAAAAAAAAATAATTTAGAAAAAATATAAAACAAATTTTGTAAAATAGAAGTTATAGGAAGTTATAGAAAAAAAAAAAAGAAGTTATAGGAAAAAAATTGTGTAAAAAAATAAAATAAAATAAAACTGTAAAAAAAAAAAAAATAACGGCTAGTTGACGTCAGTTAGCTGTTGCATTTGAAATTTCGCCTAGAATTCTTGTCGGTTATATCCGACAGGAATGCTAGAATTTATGACCCAACCCGGGATTGGCTGGCTGGTTGGATTGGGCCAGCTGGTTGGCCCTTTCAGATTCCATGGGACCCACGAGCCCACTGGCCTAGCCCTCGTTTAGAGACGGTGTTTAGGTTATTTTTGGCCCTTTAAACCCTTCGGTTGGAGATGACCTTAGTTCAGCACTTAAAGTGGACAATCTCGTTTTATTTAAATAGAACAAATCCTTTTACCTTTATGGCCCACATGTCATATCAACCCAAGCATCTCGAATTGATTTTTGAGAAATCTGAAAGACTCTCGCAAAATTAGACTCTTTATGGATTCGCCACTTCATTGTTTTAGTACAATATTTTATAATTTTAGCATTAGAGTTAATATTAAACTATTAGTTGAAAGAGCGTCTCACCTTGAAAGACTCTTCTTAGCATTTCTCTTATCTTGATTTTTATTCGTTTTGTTTGATGTTTTATTTGTTTTTTCCTTTTATGAACCTAGGTATATATAATATAATGATCATACTTATCGTTTTTTTTTTTTTTGATAAAATCTTTATCATACTTATCCTAAATATATGATTAAGCACACTGTTTGACAACTATAATACCTGCAATATTGTAGTGATTATGACATTTCTCTTCAACTTTTGCAGATTCACTCATTCTTTTATTGTTAATTAATAATGACTATCACTTATAATAAAAATAATACTTATAATTGTAAAAATAAAAACACAATTCTACAAGAGAAAACTAAAAATGAAATGTTAGTATAAAAGTTGCAATTGTGTACATGAAATGTTGTTTTTAATTTCAAGAATGTACAAGAAAATATGGTAATTGCGACACTTTTTTTACGACGTGTGATGCGGCCCTCGCAATAACTATTAAATTTCATTATTTTCTGCGCGAAAACCTTTGGCGCTCTGTTGTGGATAAGTAAAAGGAAAAAAAAAACATAACTGCACGCTCTCATCTCCCTCTCGCTCTTTGCCTCTCTCTTTCTTGTTTGCCACCTATCTCCCTGTCTTCAAAGCATAGATCTTTCTTTGTCACTCTTGCCGCAACCACTGATCCTGAGACACAATTGAACCAAGTAAGGATTTATGTTTCTTCTTCCTCTCTCAAATCTTCCATTTCCCTAACCCTAATATTTTTTGTCATCTCTCAGTTTTTTCTTTTTGCTGCTAGAAATTCGAATTCAACCTCATCCCTTCTCATTTGGTAAGATTATTTGAGAAATTATCTTATAATTTGTTTTTATTCCAGTCTTATCTATTCTCCATTGGTTCTCCCATTGTTTAGGGTTTTTTTTTTTTTTTTTTTTGGTCTTTTCTATGTTCAATTTCATCACTAATTGCTATTATTGTTGGACCATTTTATTTTATTTTTTTAATTAGAGCTAGTCAAAGAAGTTTGCTCGCTTGGTTTTGTTTATTTATTCTTTAATGGCACCAGTGACTCAATTAGCAAGAGAAGCAGAGATTTGGGGGTGGATTAATTGGGGAAAGATCAGGAAGAAAGCATTGATGAATGCAGAGACAATGGTGGTGCTTTTGTGAAGAAGCACGGATTGGTCAGAAAAATGTGAGATTTGTAGAGGAAATGGGAAGAACTAATTGGAAAGGAATGGTGAATGATGAGTCGAAATCAGAGCAAGACGGAGGAGAATATGGAAAGCGGACCTCTAAGAAAAGTGAGAATGGGGTGTAGTTTAAAGGTCGAAGATGAAGTGGGGCATTCTAATGACATCGATACAGAGAAAGGTTTGCGAAGAAGAAAGAGAGTAGGTTATTTTCTTGGGGCCATAAAGGATCATACGAAGCAGGAAGAAAGAAAAGTAAATAAGCAGTCCAAGAAAGTAAGTAATTTGTAAATTCTATGTTTATGTCATTTGTTGTCAATGTTGTGATTTATAATGTAATTGATCTAGTATGCATACAGAACTGGTATTCTATGTTTATGTTGTCATTTGTTGTGACTGTTATATAAAATCTATGTTTATGTCATTAGTTAATGAAATTGCTCAAGTTCGCCGCAAAGAGTGTAAGAAGAAACGATTATGTATTCCTTGCATACATAAATGCCATGCATTAATTTGCTCTGTATCTTTTAATATTTCTGATTAATAACTTTGTTGGGTTAATTGAGTTCATTTTGTTAGAATGGCCTGTTAGAGTATGAGTGTGATTCTCACAGTTTAGTAATAATCATTGTTGTTTTAGATTGGTATAAAGAGGTCTTAATGTGTTTATAAGAGTTAATTCAACTTTGGTTTGGATTGAAACTCTATTGTTGGCTTGAGAATAGAACTCATACTTGTACAAGGATTTGGTCTTGTATTCCTTATAGGATTATTATAGGGTAATCCAGATTTTGTAGTATAAAAACCACAAGCCCCTGCTCTCACAAAAATACGCTCTTATTGTTCCAATTACCTATAACTTGGAGAGCATTGAGTTTTGCAGAGAGGAGAAGGTTGTGTGTAGATTTCTCTAATGGCTCTTAATCCTAATTTGTTGAACATAGTTATGATATGGTGTCTAGCACTATTCTTTCCTTTGATCAATGCCGTAAAGAACATGTGTGTTGCTGCCGATGCTTGTCGGGCTCAGGACAGATGAGGGAGGAAACACGATAGCCTTGCGTTGGTACAGAAACAAATCCAATCTTCACCATGTGTGGGATAGGGAGATCATACAACAAATTATGAAGGACTATTATGACAGAACACACGGGAAAGACTTCGGCAAACAGTTTTGCTGGTATGTGTTGCAGATATTACTTCAGTATTTGCATATACATAATATTTGGAGTGATGATTGTGATTTAGTTAGTTAAATCTTATGTTCTTGGCTAGTTTGTTATAGAGCTTATATGGTTGCTCTTACATGGCCACCACCTTTTGAAGTGAGTTGTCCGAGTAGAATCCAGTAAACGCTGTTTGATTTGGTCTGGATATGGTTTAAATATTTGTATGTTAGACCATTAATTCTATTATTACATTAAGAATTACTCCACTATTTATCTTTAAGAAATGTAGCTAATTTCGTGTTGTTTTGCTGTAATAACTTGGTCTGTATAAAAGGCCGATCTATGTTATAAATTGGTGTCTTACTATTCCCCTCCATCTTTGTTTCTTGTGTTTTTCCCCTTATTTTGTTCCTATTTCCTTGGAAATTGGCTTGGTTGGGTAAAAGCTACTGCTAAGGTCGAGTGAAATCAGATGTTGCTGGGATGAGTTGCATCAAAATTCCACTATAACAAATAATGCATAAAATTTCTAGGTTGAGTTCCATTTCTTGATATCACATCTGGTTATAAGCTCAGTTATCGTTGTATCAGTGGTACTGAAATTGTTCTTATGAAAGTAACTATACAAATGTTGGCGTTGTGCCGTTTGTTATAGTTGTATCAGTGGTCTGCAAGTCACTTTTGTTCCTTTGTCATTATTGATATCATTTTTGTGGCAGTAAATTCTTGTCAACTACAGAGACTGGAAGATGAAGAGGAGACGCGTAAAGTTTAGAAGGAAAAACACTCAAGGGGATATCTTGCTAGGTCCGACAGAGAAGCACTGGTCTGATGTAGTATTATAGACTATATAAATGTCTAATCATGTATATATATTTAATTACTCCAAATGAAATACATTACAATCTCAAAGATTCCAAATAAGGGTTTTTCATTTTGTAAATTATGAATTGTAACATTGATTTGAATTTCACTTTTGTTTGGAACTTGTAGTGCAATCTCACATGAAATTTTTTTGTTGAAGCTATTAAAAATAATGTCATTGGCGTCCAATTTGACGCCCAATATTTTTTTTAAAACTTGGTGACAATTATTTGCGACGTGTTACTTGCCGTCATAAGCTCGTAGTAAATAGTATTTGCAACGCGCTCGCATCGCATATAATCGACCAACATTTACGACGCATGGTTATTGCAACGCGTTATTTGCCGTCATAAAAGGCCTATTGCGACACTTTTGGCAGATTTTGCGACGCGTTTTTACCATCCCAAAAGGTCTTTTTTTGGTAGTTTAAAGAATTTTTGTTATCTAAAATAACTTGTAAGCTTTTGATAAAAAAAAAAAAAAAAAAAAAAAAACTACTTGTAAACGTTTACACTTCGCCCACCCAAAGAAAAATTCTTAACCCGCCACTAGCTCTTCCTCCCCTAGAAGAAGCTCATGACATAGATTCCGTCATTTTCCCAAATCCTTTCAGTATCTTTTTATGTTCCTGTTTACCAAATCCTTCTAGCTACTATTTAAGTTATGAAGGAAAACGGCATACACATTTTTTATTAGCAGAAAACAATTATGTAATACTAAATAAATGTTAACACCTAAAACCTAATAATTTTGTGCAACTTAGATGGATCGGGGGCAATATATAACTCACGGATTTCTTTAGAGATGGAACAACATGCATGGGCCACGGGTTACAACCTCATTGTCTTCTATATATATATATGTGTGTGTGTGTGTGCAATGTGTGTTTATTTGTTTATATAGGAGTGGCAGCCCAAGTTGAAGTAATGGAGCTTGGAATAATAGTTGTTGGCAAGGCTGCTTCCAGGTAATCGACGAGTCGTGTGGATCCCACAATCCCACTACTACCGACTCTCGCAGATATCATTGATCTCGTGCAACTTTCAAACCTGGCACTGGCTGCAGCCTGGTATCCAATACCATCAGGCTCGGAGGACCAGAAGTCTGCATAAGCAGCAGCACTAACCAAAAAGCCTGACAGGCCACTACAGTCTATACATATATCCGTCGCTTTTGGCAATAGAGCAACCTCTGATTTGTTGGCACTTTTGATCCTCCATTTGTTTGGCATTTCTGGAATGTCTCCTTACTAGGGATTGAGGAAACAATGGAATTATGTGTCATCAGTATCTTTTTCTCTGTTCGCAGTTGGAAATGGAAGGTTTTATTCCTTGTGTTCATGACAAGTTGAGGGAGTGATGAACGAAAAAAAAAAAGAACATTTCAAGTTTTTCTACATACCATAGTCCATGCAAGGGAAACAAAAAGAGAAAGTAGACGTAAGAGTCTTCTTTTATTGCTAAGAAGCCAATTATACAATCAAAAGGCCACGGCACTCGCTATACATTCATAAATAAGACCCCAAGAGGGAGAATTGAAAAATGAAACTGTGACAACCAAGCCAATTCCAAGCCCCTGATGCTGATTATAAATTAAACTTCCAATTAATATTTGCTTATTTTTCTCCAAAACTTGCTTTCCCGACATGGATAATATAGTAGCAGCATGTGCAAGATGGCTACCAAAGAAGTAGATAAATTATGGGTTGAATCACTAATGTTGTAGCTCGATGAATTTTCTGACAGACCCTTATTGAATGGACTTGGATTGAAAGCTTGATGTCTCAACTTTCCACTAATGGAGCCTTCATTTATTTCACTGTATAAATTAAAACCTGCAATATTTGGAATAACCCAGAAATAAGATTAGTTCCTTAATTTGGTAATAATTGGAAATGCGATTGATGCCAAGAAAAAAAAAGCAATGAACCTTTTGACTTACATGATTTATATCTGCTTAATAATGAATTGGAGGTGGGGGAGATCCATAAATGTAAACCGGCGGTGGTGTTTCTACCGGAGGTGGAGGGGACTTGTAGATGTAAGGTGGAGGAGGAGAGGGTGATGGTGGTGGTGGGGAGTTGTATTTGTATGGTGGAGGAGGTGATGGGGAAGGTGGGGGTGGGGAATTGTATTTGTATGGTGGAGGAGGAGATGAGGAAGGTGGTGGTGGAGAGTTGTATTTGTATGGCGGTGGAGGAGATGAGGAAGGTGGTGGTGGGGAGTTGTATTTGTATGGTGGTGGTGGAGATGAAGAAGGTGGTGGTGGAGACTTGTAGATGTAAGGGGGAGGAGGGGAGGGTGAAGGTGGTGGTGGTGATTTGTAGTAGTAAGGTGGAGGAGGTGAAGAAGAAGGAGGTGGCGGGGATTTGTAGTAGTATGGTGGTGGTGGTGAGTATTCTGGAGGTGGTGGAGATTTGTAGATGTAAGGGGAAGGAGGAGACGGTGATGGTGGAGGTGGAGATTTGTAGTAGTATGGTGGTGGTGGTGAGTATTCTGGGGGTGGTGGAGATTTGTAAATGTAAGGGGGAGGAGGAGAAGGTGATGGTGGAGGTGGAGATTTGTAGTAGTATGGTGGTGGTGGTGAGTATTCTGGGGGTGGTGGAGATTTGTAGATGTAAGGGGGAGGATGGGAGGGTGATGGTGGAGGTGGAGATTTGTAGTAGTAGGGTGGTGGGGGAGACGGTGAGGGTGGAGGAGGGGACTTGTAGTAGTATGGAGGAGGGGAGAAGGTGAAGGTGGTGGGGGAGACTTGTAATAGTAAGGGGGTGGAGGTGAAGGTGATGGTGGTGGTGGTGATTTGTAGTAGTAAGGTGGAGGAGGTGAAAAAGAAGGAGGAGGTGGGATTTGTAATATTATGGTGGTGGTGGGGGGTATTTGGGGGTGGTGGAGACTTGTAGTAATAAGGGGGTGGGGGAGAAGGAGACGGTGGTGGAGGAGACTTGTAGTAGTATGGTGTGAGGAGAAGGTGTGGTGTGGTGGTGATTGGTTAGTAGTACGAGGTGGGAGAAGGAGACGGTGGTGGAGGAGACTTGTAGTAGTATGTCGGTGGATTGTGGTGGGTGGGGGTGATTGATCGTGGTGAGGGACTGTGTGGTAGGGGTGGTGTTTTGGGGATGGGGGTGGTGGGGATTTGTAGTAGTAGTATGGTGCTGGTGGTTTTGGAGATGGTGGGGGAGGAGACTTGTAGTAGTATGGGGTTGGAGGTTTTGGCGATGGTGGCGGTGGGGATTTGTAGTAGTATGGAGTAGGTGGCTCGGGTGATGGTGGAGGAGGAGACTTGTAGTAGTATGGAGTAGGAGTTGGTGGCTTAGGTGATGGTGGAGGAGGAGACTTGTAGTAGTATGGAGTTGGTGGCTTGGGTGATGGTGGCGGAGGAGACTTGTAGTAGTATGGCGTTGGTGGTTTTGGTGATGGTGGTGGTGGAGATTTGTAGTAGTATGGGGTTGGTGGCTTGGGTGATGGGGGAGGAGGAGATTTATAGTAGTATGGAGTTGGTGGTTTGGGCGATGGTGGTGGTGGGGATGTGTAGTAGTATGGGGTTGGTGGCTTGGGTGATGGCGGAGGAGGAGATTTGTAGTAGTATGGGGTTGGTGGCTTGGGCGTTGGTGGTGGTGGGGATTTGTAGTAGTATGGAGTTGGTGGTTTGGGCGATGGTGGTGGTGGGGATTTGTAGTAATATGGGGTTGGTGGCTTGGGTGATGGGGGAGGAGGAGACTTGTAGTAGTATGGGGTTGGCGGCTTGGGTGATGGTGGTGGAGGAGACTTGTAGTAATATGGGGTTGGCGGCTTGGGTGATGGTGGTGGTGGTGACTTGTAAACGTATGCCGGAGGTGGTGGTGACTTGTAGTAGTACTTGGGTGGCGGTGGTGACTTGTAGTAGTACTTGGGTGGCGGTGGAGGTGGTGACTTGTAGACGTAAGTAGGCGTAGGTGGTGGCGGTGACTTGTAAACGTAAGGAGGAGGATATTGGGGCTTGGACTTTTCACACTCCTCGTACGGAGTCTTGGAAGCATAAGCAAATTTGTCAGCCTTGAGCACAACTTCATATTTAGTCTTGGATTTCACTTTGAGTTTGGCACCCTTGTTGCCCCCGTTTAGCTTAGTGGGAACGTTGCATTTCGAACCCTTTGGTGCTGCGTAGAGCTTAGCCGTGCAAGCCTTGGCTCCATATTTGCCATACTCAAAGCCAGGGATAACTACGCTGAATTTCCCATTGTTCTTAGTTTTACCGTAGGCCTTGATTTCCTTCTTGCCATTCCAGCAAGTTACCACAACAACGGAGCCTGCGGTGCACAAATAATAAAAGGTATTGGAACTTTCTCTTTATGAGATACAGCACTCGTTTTCCGACAACAATAACAACAAAAAATTATATACTAATTAGTTAATTAATCAAATGATTAGTCATGTTCCACTAACTAGGTGTGATGCATTTCAATATATACCAAATCCCTGAGTTGAAAAGGACTATGCAGACTTTGGACACGACCTGTTGGGTAGCGAAAACACGGAGTTGTTCTTATATATTATTTGTAGCACGTTACATTTTCTTTAGTAAATTAAAATGGGACAAATTAAGCACTGTTGATTAATATTTACGACATTAATTTGAAACCATGGTGTTTCCATACTTTTAGCAAATATTACGTAAATTAATTTTTATAACTCAAAGAAATAAAATAAAATAAAACGGGATCACTATTTTTTTTCCTTCATCTCAAGGAAAGATTAAACCGCAACATGTGTGACTATATTATTATATGCCTCTATTTATCAAAAGTGAACCATCCGATTGGAAGGATCACATATACAGTATACTACCCAAATAACTCATTGGGACCAGCAGAGTTGTAAAACATCAAGGACCAAGATTTGGAAAATAAACAAAGATATGATACGAAAGATTAAAGCCAATATTTAAATAAATTTTGAGAAAATGAATTTTGAGAAAAGTACCTGTGGAGTGCTTCTTGTCGTGTGACTTCGATGGATTCTTCCAGTCATAGCATCTGTAGCAGTAGACCCTTCCGACAACCTTCACCAATGGCGGCTTCGGATAGTAAGGAACTGGTGGTGGCGGAGAAGTGTAGTAGTAAGGGGTTGGTGGTGGTGGAGACTTGTAGTAGTAAGGAGGAGGAGGATACAGTGAGGGTGGAGGAGGAGACTTGTAATAGTATGGGGTTGGGGGTTTTGGGGATGGTGGTGGTGGTGATTTGTAATAGTATGGAGTTGGTGGTTTGGGTGAAGGTGGTGGTGGTGGTGGTGGAGACTTGTAGTAGTATGGGGTTGGTGGTTTTGGTGATGGTGGGGGTGGGGATTTATGGTAGTAAGGTGGAGGAGGTGAAGGAGAAGGAGGTGGTGGGGATTTGTAGTAGTATGGTGGTGGTGGGGAGTATTCTGGGGGTGGCGGAGACTTGTAGTAGTACGGGGTTGGTGGTTTTGGTGATGGTGGGGGTGGCGATTTGTAGTAGTAAGGGGGAGGAGGTGAAGGAGAAGGAGGTGGTGGGGATTTGTAGTAGTATGGTGGTGGTGGGGAGTACTCTGGGGGTGGTGGAGACTTGTAGTAGTAAGGAGGAGGTGGAGAGGGAGAAGGTGGCGGTGGAGACTTGTAGTAATATGGTGGTAGTGGTGAGGGAGAAGGTGGTGGTGGAGACTTGTAAACATATGGTGGTGGTGGGGAGGGTGATGGAGGAGGTGGTGATTTGTACTCATACGGTGGTGGGGGAGACAGTGATGGTGGTGGTGGAGACTTGTACTCATATGGTGGTGGTGGAGACGGTGATGGTGGTGGTGGAGACTTGTACTCATATGGTGGTGGAGGAGAGGGAGAAGGTGGTGGTGGAGACTTGTAGACATAAGGCGGTGGTGGTGATGGTGATGGAGGTGGCGGAGACTTGTAGACATAAGGCGGTGGCGGTGAAGGTGATGGTGGTGGTGGAGACTTGTAGACATATGGTGGTGGTGGTGGTGAGCTGTAAACGTAAGGTGGTGGTGGTGGTGGTGAAGAGTAGGGATAAGCACTTGCTTCTACTAAATCCACATTGCTTGAAATCACCACCAGTGTGGCAGCTAAAGCCACTGCCATTTGAGGCCAAAGCCGACCCCAAGAGGGGCCGCCGCCCACACTCCTCATGGGTGTTGCTACAATTTTCTTACCACCTCTGGTCAATGTGGTTAGTTTCACAAATTTTCTCGGGAAAATGGGGAAATGAAGAGAGAAAATATGCTGAAGGCCAGAGAAGCCTTGAGCTGTTTAGGTTTGGAGTGATGACTTGGTAGATGCATGGTATATTGTGTTTTATAGGAAGTGCGAGTCGTTGAGAGAGAGCTGTCACAAAGGACCAATTCTAATGTACTCTTTGATTTAATGCATCAAATGGGGTCACCCTAGCTGGCCTTATCTATTTTGCAATACACTGTTTGAATCACTTGGGGCTCCCCCAGTTGAGATTTAAGAAGCAATGATAATACTACAATATTAAAACAGTAAATTTTAATAATTCCACTTCTTGAGCTCGTTCTCTTTGTCTACAATTTTATTCTATTTTCTCTTTTTAAAAAAATCAATGCACTAAAATGTATAATAGTGTTTTAGTAGTGCTATTCACACTCATTTAATTCCTTACACATTTGTTTCAATTTTCGATCATTGGATCAAATAAAATGAAGAAAATGGTAAAAACTTAACAAAAGTATACGAAAAGTAAAATAAATGTGTGAATAACACTTTCTATAGCGTTTACATGGCCACAATGGTGCACAATGGTTGGAAATTTTTGTTTTTCTTTGGGCAGATAGATATTTGGCAAATGTTTGGGTCAACGTTTCTAAAAGATAATTAAATATGAGGAAATTGTGAGATCTGATACGTGGCTAGAAATGCCATGTGAAAGCTTCCATATGGCACATGTATATATTATTGTCAGTTTTTCTCTTACTTTTCAATTGTTTGTTCCATATTTGTTAATTACAATCTAAAAACTAATTATTAGTCTAAAGTTGTTTAAGCAAAAGAAATCCAAAAGGTTAAAGTCAATTAAAAAGGGTAATAATGAAGGTCCTAATAACAAAGTTGGTGGCCGGTAGAGGAAAAAGATTCGTGCAGGGCAGAAGGTTTAGTGGCAAATAAACAAAAGCAAAACAAACAGAATATTGCACGTTCATTGGCCTCCCTATAATACTAGCTCAAAGAGCTGAGGATTTGGGTATATTTATTTTCAAATGCATGTTTTTTTATTAGGAGATGAGTTTCATCATAAAATCAATGACATATAAGGAGTAGTTTAACATTTTATAAGTTATTGTAAAGTTTTTCTTTTTATCGATATGAGATTCTTTTATCTTTACATCATCATATGTCTTTTTACATGTGGCAAATTTGTAAGCCAAATACGTGGACAACAAGAATTGGGTGACATGAAGCACTTGAGGCTTAGTTGTTGGGCTCACACGTGGGTCACCCTACTCTGATACCATAAAATAAATAAGATTCTACCATAAAATAAATTGACAATATGAAGAGTAGTCTAATTTTTTATAAGTTTTTACAAGATTTTTTCTTTCACCTAGTGGAGACTGTTTTCCTTTAAATTCAAACAACACCATGTGAAAATTCAATCAAGTGGTTTCTGCAGCTTTTGCAGGTGATTACAACCAAAGAGTGTAAAAGAAAAAGAAAAAGAAAAAAGGGACCGAGTAGCAGAAATAATAATGCATGTTTCCTTTGAACATACTGGACCATCCTCGTACGATGTTCCTTTGCTGTACAATTAGGCCACCTTCCTCATACGGTGTTCCTTTGCTGCACACACCGGCTACCCCATACTCATCATACTATGATTTGAACTCTCAGCTTTTTTTCTTTCTCTTTTCCTTTGTCTCAGAATAGGATCATTTGGCTGACTTTGCCTTTCAGTAATATCCCACTCATCCATTTGATGGATTGAAATTTTCTTTTGGTAAATTTGAAATATAAAGTAATTTATTTATTTATTATATATAAACACGATATTACTACATGAGTCTCTAATTTAGACATAAAAAGAAAATATTTGAACACGAAACGCAATGGTTTAAAAAGTTTGAAACTCTTCAAAATTAAAGTTAAAAAATTCACGTAATGAAGGGCTCGGGACAGTAAATTTTTTAATGTTATTACCTAACATGCCCCGTAAACCCTAAACCCTAATTGGATGGTACGAGGCACATTGCTAAACTCTATTGAGATCGCAGGACAAAACCCTAAGCATCCATCCAATTGCACCGTAGCCACAAGGTCCGTGACCACAGTGGATCAGATTTGGGGGCGGTGAGTAATTAAAATTTAAAACAGTGGTTAGAACAGCCAACCCAGAAGTCCACATGGGATTAGTAACATACTAACATACAACTGTTTCCAATTTACTTACAAGTCAAGCTTTCAATTATATTTCAAAGGGAACAAATAACATTAAATAATGTATTTAAATTGTTACTAAATTATTCCACTTCTTCTGCATGATAAAATAGAAATACCAGTACCATGTCACTTTTGTTGGTGCATTGCTTCAATCAGTTCACTAAAATTAGATATACTTCTGCTCAAAAATTATGTTTAGGGTTAATGGACTGCCCCTATAAGATTCAAGCAAATTTGTAAAAGTTTAAACATACTCCTTTCACTCTTTTTGACTATCAATGCCGTGCCATCAAGCAACTCTGCAAGTCTAAATAAGCCAATAATCAAGATATATAGCTAGGGTGAGTTGCTGAGGCTAAGGACATATTACAGCAACACTTTTTTTTATTAATTTTTTTAAATGCTCGCTCTTTTGTTATGACAACTGACTTACATGAAATGTGTTCACTGTCACCGTAGCATTCAAAACTAAGAATACAAATGTTATATATTATATTTGACACCGATACCAAACTAACTTTACCACCTGCCCAATCCTCAGGTTAAGTTTTTATCACAAAAAGTCTCGGTGTTAATTACAGTGAGGCAATTCTATTTAAATGGATCTTTCTTCTTCCCTCTATCTGATGTGGGACAAACTGTGTTTCAACAATATTATTGAATCAGGAGGCTTGTAGTGGTAAACCCATTCTATGCAACTTGTTTAAAGTGAAAGTAATGCATGAAAATTTGGAATTAGAATATTAAGACTAGAAGAAAACAAAACAAACAAAAATAGGAGTCCCTACCAAATGGGCCAATGGTCATGATGTTGAAATCATGGAGTAAATGAGAGGCACATGTAAAGAAAGACTTACCAATTTTGAGTAGGAAATTATGTTAAGATCATTAAAGGACCACATCATCCGCCCACCTGCTCTTATTTCCAATAAAAAAAACCAGTTTAGGTATATGGTGGCACGGATTGACTAAAGATATAGGCTATGTGTTCACCTAACATTGCAACCCTTTTTTGTCTGTCTTTTTGCTATTTCCGCAATTTAATTGGCAGAAATCAACATAAATTGGCCTTGTATTAGCATTTCTTTTCTCTTCTCTTTTCTTTAGTTAATGTTTTTGATAGTTGGTTATACTAGACAATTTGATTTCACAACTATGTAAGTCAAGCTCAATACAAAACTCAAACAACTACGTAAATCTCTACAATTTTTTTTTTTCATGTTAACATCCGTTAATTAGAACATAAACTCAAACGACTACATATATCTAGATACTATACATTTCTAGATATTGTTAAACTTCAATATTGGGTCAATAATTTTTACTACGTATGTCAATGTGTAAATTAACAATCAACAAGTCCGATCTATTTGTATTGTGATGTGGCTCATTGTTTGTCTTACTCTCTATATCGCATCTTTTGTGTTTTGCTCCAAGCTTTGGGTTAATACTGTACAGAGATACATATAGTATAGTTATTGAAAATTTATTGACACGTGGTACCAATCAAGGGAATGCGTCAAGGTTTTAACACAGTTGTGATGTTGTACTAATAGATTTTCAAACTTTGGATGGTGAGTCATTAGAGAGTTGAATGTGTCTAACATTTTATTATTCAAACTATTTAGCATGGTTTGTCACATTGCTCATCTAAATGAAAGTTTAATTGATCAATAGTCAAGATTGATAGTTTTACCATATAAGAATGCATCCAATTTCCATTTTAAGAATACCATTTAATAATAGATCAGTGGCATAAAATATGAAAATTCAACAATTTTTTTGTTTTATTAATTGGCCATATAGCTTATGTAGCTTTCAAGAAAGTTTTAGATCTGTCGAATATCCGAAACTGTGCCAGTATAATCCATTTCTCCGATAAAAGTCTTACACTTTTTATTTTTTTAACAAACGATATTATCTATACTAAGGAAGAGGGGTGGACCTTGCCTCACAATGAGTTAGCAATAATGTAGTTCAAATTCTCCTTTGGTGAGAATCGAACCTAAGACCTCTCACTTACAAACGAAGAGGAATATCACTACACCGTTGTACAAAGTGGCAACCCTTCACTCTTATAAGCCAACACAAAACTTAATCCCAATAACAACACCTGTGTTGTGGCCTATTTTATCGAAGGTAGAGAGAGAGAGAGGGTGCAGCAGAGAGAAAGATGGAAAATGTGTGTTATTCCCTCATACCTAGTGATTTTATTTATGGTAAACTAGATAGAATTCCTTACCTTGCAAATTAATATCACAACCACCTGGTCATTATACGATATAATAAAAAAAACTTCAAGTTGCTCTCAATTTTTTTCCGGTAACATGGAAGAAGAGAACAAAAAAAAAACACTAAGGAACAACTAGTCTAGCTCTAGAGATTACAGAATAGTCATCAAAATGAGTTTAAACTAAACATGGGGGAGGCTGCACAAGTTCCTCTCATTCATTATTTTTGTAATTAGTAAATTGTTAAGGATAATTTAAGATACATAACTATTTTCATTGGTATATTTATATTGCAATGTTTGAAGAGAAACAGTTTAAAACAAATCCGTTAGGTCGGTATATATATATATATATTGCAATGTTTAAAGAAAAAGAGTTTAAAACAAATCCGACCTAACAGATTCGAAGAATCAGCAACTGAGCCAATTCTGGGCTGTGTATTGTTTTGCCCAATCGAAAATGCCACCACTAATTTGGTTTGGTAGATAGTGGTTGAAGCAAATCCTTAATTTTATTCCAGTTCAACAAAATAATTCAAGAAATTTAAGTAGGTCCTCTTGTTCATTAACTGTAAAGAAAGCATATGTTTGATTTAATATTACTTGTTATTTGAACTGAAAAGAATATTAGATTTCATGTGCGATCTGTCCAAACA